TTAACTCGGGTGAAAAGTGCCGTGAGCTCTGACTCGACTTCGACTATGAGTATATAGGGATCGTAATAATGATATAAACTTCTCGGGCAAGCCCTTCATGGAAAGGCCGCGCAAGAGTTTAAGGCGGTCGACTGAGTCGAAAGCCGCTTCCAGATCGAGACGGACGAAGATCGTCGTTCAGTTTGATTGTTATCAATACACCCAGCCTAGAATTGAAGTTCACAGCCCCAGAAAGAAACTTCACTGGTTCCCGCTTTAGAGGTGGTTTCATCAACAATATCATGATTTTTCAAACTCGTAAAGAAAATTCTTTCATCAGAAATGTATTTCAAATTGATAATTTGGTTCCATCTACACATGCATGATGCAGTTGAACTGGACGGATCCAATATTCTCAAACGATTTCGAATTACGAGCCTCCGATAGATCCGCAGTGAAGGAATTACTTTCGTCAACTGTAGTTAGTGTAAAGTTTCACTACTACTGTTTCCGCAACTCGGTTAATGAACCACATTTCTGTTCCTTTGTCATTCTCGTTGATTGGTTCAGTTTTCTTTATTCCGTTAAAATTTTAATTTTCTCTAGCAGATTACCTTTTGAAATTACATTTTCTTTTGATACACTGTCCCTGCAATTCGCCGCGTCTATGGATCGATCTTTGTGTATTGCACCTGTTGATTTCGGTAGATGAACTTTAAATCGAGGGGCTTCTGTTCTCACATAACGCGATTAGTTACAGGAACTACTTGGTTCCCACTGACAACTTCCCGTTAGTTTCTGAGATCAGTGAACACCGTCCCGCATAGCTAAATACAGGGACGATTAGGTCACCCACTAGTGCAGTGAGTGCAATCCTAGTTAAAACAAACCACACAATGTGACCGAGGCATTCCGACTCCTGTATAAAGTTCCTGGGCGATTATCGAGACGGGTTCGCTGTCGGATGCTGGCCACAGCGGAAGCGCTAGGAATTCGTCAGCACACACTCACCCCTCTGTGTGCTTAAGCTCCCCTGACCCTTACCTCATGTTGCGAGGGGTTTCAACGATAGGATGACCTGACAGTTTTGTGGTCATTAAGAATTCCACATCCGGTCCGAAGGTGAAATTAACCCTAGATAACCTATAAGGTTATTTTTCCTTTCCCAATACAATTGTTTGGTTTTTTATGTTTGAATACCGATATCTATATAAATCGCGTAATATTTATTGTGATGCATTCGGCATGACTGTGAATCACTGAAAACGAGCTTGTTCGCCACTCTTTTTTCTATTTGAAATGTGCTCTGTGGTACTGTATAGACAAATACATATATAAGTCACAAAAATTACAACTTTCCTATCTATATGCCAACGTTTATTGCTATTACATTCCTTGTCATGAGCCCTAGATCAGTTCCGTTCATTATAATTCCTCGTATACCAACCACAGCTGGATAAAAACACGCGAACCATGAACACCAGACAACCGATCGCCTTGAGTCTGCTCACCCTTTCGGACTACTTCATCACTGACTGTATCAGTCGAGCTTCACAGACCATGGCCAAATGTGTCAAGGCAATCCACGACGCAGCCACAAAGACGTCTTGAAATCGGTTCGGGATGCACTTGACAAAATATATGCAATTGGGACGAGTTTGTTCTTTGCATCTCCACTCTAGCTTGTGTTTAGCCATTTCGTAACTGTCGGTACTTGACCCGAATTCCCAAAGCCTTTTAGTTCCCCGCGTCATTACGACAATGATGATGCTGATGATTTATGAATAAAGTTTCGAATTCACCATTGTTTTCTTTTCATACTCATCATTGACGAGGGATACGTGGACACAAGTTAACTCTCGAACTCATACCCTCATGTTTGTTAAATTTATCGTAACTGCTTTATCTTGACAATTAACGTTGTTCGTGCTTAGTTACTCCTACATTCTGCTCCGTGCACCAAATATGTCACATCAGTTCAATGAACAACCCTCAGACTGGGGCGCGAACGTAGTGGAACTCACGATTCGTCTCTCATTGTCATCTCGCTACGCACATTTTTTCCCCAACGGAAGTTTCGTTTTCTAGCTCACGTGCTAGGAGGCTGCTTTTATTTTGATGTGTTGGGATCACATAAATGTGTACGAGGACGTGATACTTGTTTGGCTGGTCATGCTTTGAACAACCAGTAACACTCAAAAACGGTATAGTAATCGGTCGACCTGCTAGCGTTTGAATTGAGCTTATTGTTCACCATTTTATGTGTAAAAAATAATTCGCTACGCTGTTGCAGTTCGTATTCACAATAAGTGTTTTGTGTTAAAAAAAATGATGTATCCAATTAGTATTACAGTGGTTTGATCAGAATTCAGTGCCAATGAAAATGGTACCATGATGTGGTTTGTTATGCAAAGATTTGATCATACTTCATACGTATGTCTACTTTCTTCATACACTTTGAATTGGGGAAAATCATAAATATGATCCTCGATCGGTTGAGCCAGTTTGACGTAGTCTTTTTGCTTGTTCACGAAGCGGAACCAACAGTATGGATCCAACTGCCACTGACCGTTGCCACGACGTGTTCTGTGTTTGGCTATCCCGTCCTTTATTTTGTGAATGCACCCGTTCAACTCTGGACCGAAGATTCCACCACCTGAATTGTGATCTGTAAACTTTCCTAGTGGCTGACACAAGTCACACTTCAAGCAGGTCACTTTTCTATTACGAAGGCATCGGCTCTTATTAGCATTCTTCGCTGGTCGTATTACAACAATGGGAGCATTTCGACAGAGTTCACTTATTCGGGCCTGATACTCTGTCTCTTCGTGATCCATCGTGACTAGAACTAGGAAGTCACACGTATCGGTCACGAGTTCCACTTTCCAACCGCCTAATCCCCCTCTCATCCTATCGTGGTACATACGCAGCGCGGATAAGCTGTACAGAATCAGTGAGGGAGTTACTGGACCTACTTCCAAAACTTCCCTCCAGCTTCGACAGAACAATACGAATAAGCCATAGCAATAGGTATACTCTAACTTGTGTGTCTTGTTACTGACATCCGGCAACGCGAGCATGACGTTTATCTGAGCCGGACGCAAGTAGGTAGCGATAAAATCCGGAACATCCCATTCTTTCCAAGTCCTATTTGAATCGATACTAGCCTGTTGTTCGTTGTGCATTTCATTCGTCGTCTTGACGTTGTTTTCATTTAGCCGTTGATATTCCGTCGGTGCTTGTATTCTCAAGGCACGGAAAATCCGTCCATTGCAATTGACTCTCATGCATACCTTCGACCATTCCGTGCATTCAGGTGTGTGCTCAAGGAGATCCGATAAGTTGCCTGCTCGCAGAGATCTTTCAATTCTGCATTGTGTGTGCAAAAAGCGAATGAAAAACCCAAACCCGAAAAACGCAATTGAGGTGGCCACCGTGATGCAACAAATGAAAATCAGCCATGAATTGTCCGCATCCGTTACGGGGCGGCATTGGATTTCGCGAATGTGTTCAAAGCTCTGGTTTGTAGACCATCTGGGAAGAGTTTGACACCAATTTTGTATTGCTTTCCCGGGATTTTCACTTGGTCGAATGTCCCGCGACCCGAGAATCCGTATAGCTTGATCGAGAAACCCTTTTTCTCGTAGCTCAACCATGAGTGTCCAAAAAGCGTTTAAAGCCTCCACGGTTGGTGGAGTGATTGGATACCACCCGAAAAATGCCACTCCATAAGATATTTGATTATATCCGCCAGTATGTGAGCCCATAGATTGTGAACCCCGACCTTCGTAAACCGCTCCGTCATTTCCGATCATGTAACTGTAGCCTAGTCCTTTCCAGTTTTGCGACAGATGATACAAAGCTGCTTGCCGTATGTACTGGACACAAGCCGCATGTGAATAGCATCGAAATCTAGGCAGATACGTGTTGTGCAAAACCACTTGACGCAACGGCTCGTCCAAATCAAGCGGTTCGAAATCGTGACGCCTCGTGCACAATGGTTCTTGCCACTGTTCGGGGCCACGAACAATGCTGGTAGCGGGCTGGGCGCTGTTTACATTCCAGTCGTCTTCAATTAAATCCGGCTCACCGATGGCTTTGAGATGATTGTCTAACTGAACACGGCAATGCAGAAGNGGAGAATACTGGAATCCATGTGTTCATATTGACATTTGTACTATGGCTGTAGAGAATGAAACAGAAAATGGGGAGAAGTTGATTGGTTTTTAGCGACTACTTAGTTTGAATTTCTATACTTTTTTACAAATCAGTATCCTTTTATTCTTTGGCTGAGTATTTTGTCAATCGTTTCACTTGTTTGTACTTATATTTATGGTATCGTATGAGAATAGAAATAGACTTTCTTAATGGGAAGGGCGTTAGAGCGTACACGACAATAGGGATCCTCA